CAAGCTATCCAGGTCCCGCCGAGGCTGCTCCGTCAGCCGTAAATTTTGACAATTGATTCGTATTGGCATCAATTTTGGCTACAGGAGTTGCCAGAAAGAAGTCAAAGTTGACATCCAGCGTCCCCAAGGGGGCTAGACTCTTGGTTTCAATTCAGTGTCTTCGTAGATTCATTCCCAACTAAAGCTAGAGAAGCCAGTCTATCCTTCTATGTTACTTATCGCTAGGAATAGAGGAGAAGGAGAATTTCCCTCTTTCCCAAGAACATAAAAATCTACTGTCTCTGCAAAACACACACACGCACACACCTATAATGTACGTATGTATGTATGTAGGAAAGGTAATGAAGCAATCTCTTCTCTCACGGGCAGCTATGGGTTAAATAATAGGACTTATATCTTGAAAAATCATTACCCCCAACAAAAAAATGCAATATTTACTCTCCCCCGCAAAAAATATTCTTAAAAAAATATTTCGGGTTTATATAACCCATCAAGTGTTGATAAGCCGTAAAAAATACAATCAATTCTCCTATGTTGATCGAGTTCGTTATATTCACGTTCGCATAAAGACCCTTGAGAAAGGCATGAATCCATTTCTTCTCCTACAGGCAGCTATGGGATAAATAATAGGACTTGTATCTTGAAAAATCATTATCTAAAAAAAAAAAAAAAATTCTTACAATTCAAAAGAAATATTTCGACTTTATATAACTCATAACGGGTTGATAAGCCGTAAAAATCAATTCTCCTATATTGATTAGAGGGACCTGTCTGCACTACTATTTAATCCATAGCTAGCGGAAGAAGACATGGATCCATAACTTTTCTAATGATATTTGTGCTAAAGTGAATATAACGATCTCGAATGGAATCCGAACTCGGCTCGACGATTGTTCATTCTTCACCTCTAATCATTACACCACCTGCACATCCCTTAAATTGTAAATACGCAATTTCCATACCTAAGAGCTATTAATTATAGATTCACTTACTTTCAGACTAACTCGTTAACGCTAGAACCCCCCTTTCTAAAAGTTACAATTGTGGGGCACTCTGTGAAGATGGAACTCACATCATCATGTTGTAATGGAGTTCCACGGCTAGCTATCACCCTACGGGAGGCGTCCTACTTTTGAAGATTAGCCCGTCGAATAGCGACAACGTTACCCGAGCCAACGCTGGGTAACTTTGCCCCTGTTCGGCGAGCTGATGTGACTTAGTTTCAAAAATAGTCGGCCACTTGTCACGTTCCGTAAATAGTTTTCCTCTTTCGCCCTTGTCAGGTAGCGAGTCGGCTTGTCCACACGAAGGCTGAGCGTTGACGACTCTACCTGGATAGACAGGTCGATTGGAGAGAGAGAAAAAAAAATTAAGTAGGTGAGTTGTTAGTTTGTCGCTGTTGAAGTATGCAAGTAAAAAAGAAAATGCCTATCTCGCCAGTAGGCTGATGGGTCGGGTGTGATAGGGGTGCTTATCTTCACAAGCAATCTCGTTAAGTTACTGCGATAGATAAGCAGGTTGTTGCGGATACGTTATTTGACGTGTTTATATAGTGAGGCGATTCTGGGAGAACTGGGAGTCATATGAGGATTCATTATTGGCGGACACAGTCTTCTCTTTCTTCCTACCAGCTATGAGTAAAGAGCAGGACAGACTGAGTTCTATAGCCTTGGGTGGCAATAGAGGAGAAGGACAACTCTGTAAAAATAAATAAATGAATAAAACCTGAATGGGGTCGTTTAATCCAGTGATTCTCAACATGGTCCAGGTGGACCACCGGTGGTCCACATAGCATTTCTAGTGGTCCACGGAGAATTTGTAGCCATTTCACAAAAATGTATTTAAATTATTCATACCGTGAAGAATTAAAAAAAAAAGTACATTTTGCTTAATTAAACACATGTCCATTATAGTTGAAAATTTCGAAATTACGTAGTTATTATGCAGTGCTATATATTTTTTATCATATATATATATATATATATATATATATATATACAAATACAGAGTATCCATAAAGTTCGTGTGCACTTTAAAAAAAATTATAACTTTATTTGTATTTGCGATAGAAATAACTTGTAAAAAGGATTAGAAAGAAGTAAATCTTTATTTTTCAAGGTTTTATTGAAATTTTAAGTTTCCACATGTCCTCCATCATTAGCAATACAAAGGGTAATACGATTTTGCAGTTCACGGAAAACATTTGCCAACTGATTTACAGTAATGCCTGAAATCACATTAGTTATTTTAGCTATACTTAAAACTAGGTACATTAAACTTTATAACATTTTTTTAACAGATTATTTCTATCGAAAATACAAATAAAGTTATATTTTTAAAGTGCACACGAACTTTATGGACCCCCCTCTCTCTCTCTATATATATATATATATATATATATATATATATATAATCTGTTATATATACTATATATAATATAATTTTTTATTAATATAAAAAATTTATATTATATATAGTATTTTTTTTTTTTTTACTAAAATATATTTTAAAGTGTAAATAGACTACTTTTAATATTTAAAATTTAACAGCCTTCCCCCACGAGGTCTGTATGTGGCACAAGGCCGAGTTTACCGTGGGTTCTCCGAACCCGTAGGCTCGGCCAAAAATATTCCCTTAGAACCCGGATAAATGGGTTCAGGGTCTGTCTACCTCCCCGGACGAAACCTTGCCCTTCGGCAAAGCCTCGTCCTGGTTCCTCTCTGCTCAAGACAGAGATTTTGACAGTTGAACAGGATATGGCACTGTTCCCCTAAAATAGACTACTTTTCATTGAGTATTTTAGTGTGAAAATTGAACAGCCTAAAAGTAAAAGTAGGAGTGATCGATTTTGAATTTTTTGAAGAAAAAAAAATGGTCCATTTGCTGAAAAAGGTTGAGAAGCAGTGATTTACTCTATTCTCTGCACAAGCTGTAGGTAAATAGCAGGGCAGACTGGGGACTATAGTCTTGGGTGGCCACCGGTCTAGGAGATGGCCAACTCTGAAATCAAAGCCAGAGGAGAGTTGTTTTGAATGAGGACCGATGACGACCCCCACAATATTGAAGTATTATGTACACTAATTACATTATTCGGACTATTGTCCTCATCTTTGTCGCCATATTTATCACAACGTTTCGGACGTTGTACGCTCTGGCCTTCTTCAGGTGGTTGGAATGTCGAACTGAACCCTTCATTTCGCTGTTCTAGTTCTACATGCCATGTCTGATGGACGTCAGTTATCTCCTGTCAATTCCCCTCTCCAAGTTCTCCACCGCCTTAACCAGGTATTAAATTAACACTCACTGTGTCATGTGTCCCTGAAGACATCTGTGTATGAATTTCTGGGTATTATAAACCTAATGTCTTCAGCAACCATTTAAGTAAAAAAAGAAAGTAGTTATTTATAGTAAATAATAGTCGGTGGATTAAGTTGAGTTCGAACTCGAGTCGGATCCATTACATTCACTTACGTGCTAATACCCTTGGGAAAGGTATGAATACTCTTCCTCTCCCCCAGCTATGGGAAAATAGCTTAACAGACTGGGTTCTATAGCCTTGTATGGCATTCGGTCTCGGAGAAAGAAACTTTGAATTCAAAACCAGCCTGGAGAGGGTTAAGCTCCATCAGGCTATCTTGCCCAAGAAACATCACTTCTTCTTGACTGCGGCTGCATTACACATATTGCCGCTACGACCCTACGCGTCACGGGATAAAAAAAAATAGTAAGCAAATAGTAACAATTAAGGCGTGACTCACAACGGCACTTCGTCGGGTTTGTGACGTAGGAAATGCTTAGTGCGGGAAATGGACGTCGAAATATGACCGTTGTCACTTGGTCGTTTGAGTTCAAATTTCTTTGGTGACAATTTCCTTTGACATTTTACACCTTCTATTTGATGATTTTGGTCTCATTGACCCCAGAACTCCTCGGGCGATAAAACTACTTTTGTCAAAAAAAAGAAAAAAAGTCATAAATAAATTCACTTGTACAGTAGTTTTTCGAATATCAACCTCGATAAAAAGAATTTGTAACGAATTGATAAAACAAAATTTTATCGTCAAATCTTTATTATTAAGAGCAAAAAACCAAAAAGTTTCTTGAATTATTATTTTTTTTTTTTTTACCCATTTTAGAACGCTCGAAATTTTGGTTAAAATCTTTTTTTCCCCTCTGGGTGGGGGCCAAAGATTACTATATAAAATTTTAGCGTTTTTCTTTGTGGTGAAAAAAAAAATGAATTAAATTATTTGAGAAATGCTTTATTTAGTAAAGTATTTTCTTGGTAAAAATATATTATTTAAAATCCGTTACCCACCACTTATTTAATTTTATGAAATTTCGAAAAATTAAATTTTGTGGAGCTTAATATTTATATTACTTAAAAGCAGAAGTCCTTGGAGAATTGAAACTTTTAAAATTTTCATTTTTGTAAAACAGGGCACTGTTACCAAAAATCTGCTCTGAATTGTAAAAAAAAAAAAAATCAAATAAATCTAAGACATTATTTAATTAGAAAAGTTTTTAATTACTTTTATGATACAATTAGGGACACTGTTACCTTAAGATAAAAATGTTGGTATTGAATAAAGGAACATGCAATTAGCAAGTTATATAGCAAGTTTGATTCATACTGAGTGCTCCTTATTGGTTGCCTTGTACCAAGCTTTGCTTCGTAAATCGGTCTTCTGCCCAATGACTGACATTCTTATATTAAATTAATGACAGCAGTCAATCTTCGAAGTAATGAAAAAAAATTTACTGATTTTTCAAGGTAGCTGGTGTAATACAATCTTGCTACTTTCACTCCCCTCCCCCATGGAGTCCTTTGCTGTTTTAAACAAATATCGTGATTACACAGATCATGTTGGTGTCGGAGTTTCGTTTTCGATCTCGAATAAAAATTCAAAATTTAAAGTGCTGATTGCTTTCCAGAATGGCTGAGAAGAAAATTTCTGTTTAAAATACTGACGCCACATAATCTTCCTATCTTTGTCTAGTAACTAACTTCACGGGTAACTCCTTTCTCTGGCCCTTTTCCGTTCTCCATTTCTGTCCCCTTTCCGCTACCTTCCCCCTTCTCCCACTTTGTCGCCCTTTTTCTCCCACTTTGTCGCCCTTTTTCTCCCACGTTGTCGCCCTTTTTCTCCCACTTTGTCTCCCTTTGTCACCTTTTTCTCTCACTTTGTCTCCCTTTTTCTCTCACTTTGTCTCCCTTTTTCTCCCACTTTGTCTCCCTTTTTCTCCCACTTTGTCTCCCTTTTTTCTCCCCTTTCTCCCCTTTTTCCCCCTTTCTCCCCTTTTCTCCCCTTTTTTTTCTCCCCTTTTCTCCCCCTTTCTCTCCTTTTTCTCCCCTTTCCCCTTTTTCTCCCCTTTTCTCTTTTCTCTCTCCCTTTTTCTCCCTTTTCTCCTTGTCCTCCTTTCTCCCTCTTGTCCCCTTTTCTCCCTTTCCTCTCTCTCACGCACTCACTCTCACTCACTCTATCTCACTCTCCATCACTCTCATTCTCTCTCACTCTCACTCACTTTGACGCTCACTCACCCTCTCAAACTCTCTCACACTCTCACTCAAGCGAAATATATGCTGAATGATGTTGAAATGCTGTTTCTAAAACAAATTCTGACAGAAGTTAAAAAAAAAAATGGAGACACCTTACAAAGCTTACAACATCGTGTGGTCAGTCAAGTGATCATGGCTCTCCACACATTTCCTATTTCTGGTAATTACCATGACTTCTTGGGAAAGAGTTGAGTGGTTTCCTGAAATTGCCTTCTTCACTATTTATATTCAGATTTCACCCCTCCCCTGGGCCGATTACCACCCAAGGCTAGTGAGTCCAGTCTACCCCGCTTTTTAACGCATAACTGTAGAGAGAAGATACGGGTTCATGCCTTTCATGGGAGCATTAATGCGAAAGTGAACGCTATAGATGAGTTCGGAACGTGAACTCGTTGCCGAAAACCGTTACGTTAGCCAGAGTAAAAACCCGTTCATTATCCAAAGAAATTTATGCCTTCTATATAGCGAGGTTGGATAACTTTAGGACAAACCAAACGAATTATACGAACAAAGACTGCTCTTAGATCAAATAAAGGCAGCAAAAAGTGCTTGAACTGAGTCAACAAAAAGTGCGTAATGTTCTGTAACTTAAGGATAATTTTAGTTTGGGTCCAATTTATAACAAGACATGTCATTTTCCCGAAAACTGGTTTCACCGAAAGCATTAAATCGAATCTAGAATTAATTTAAATTAAAATATGAACGGTTGTCGATAATCCCATGAAGCGATTAGGAAATAAATAAATAAAAAACGACCAAAATTTCACCATCTCTGAATATAGGTGGATAATAAGAATCACCAGGCCACAAAGACATATTTCGACCAACCGATCAGAAAGGTTTCACAACCGGGATATAAGTCCGCGATCCATTGAGGAGCGGCGCGGCCTTTTCGAGGCGGATCTACAGATGGGCATACAGCCAAATAGAAAATTAAACAAAACCAGAACGGCTAAATAAATTTTGTTCATTCTCTCATCGCAACATAACCAGTGCCGAAATGCGACATTTGCGAGACCAGCTTCTTGACTGTGCTGATACATTTAGAAACGTACACCCTTTCTCCAACTTTTTTAAGCATATATTTGATAACAAACATACCTTTGTTCACCCACATTTTCAAGCGGCGGCTACTACATTTGGACACACACATATATATAAATATATATATATATATATATATATATATAATAGGTTCAAACACTAATATTCCATGGTTATAATTTATTATATTGAATCGTAATCACGATCCAATTCATCAGACCTACAAATTCCAAGTATAACCATGGAATATTAGTGTTTGTGCCTTTTATTTTATATTCTTACTCTACCCTGGACTTGAGTTCTACCTGGATTCTATCCTCTTGGGAATATATATATATATATATATATATATATATATATATATATATATATATATAATTATATGCACTGTGAAAAGTTTATATAAATAAATATATATATATATATATATATATATATATATATAGAAATGAAAAATTACTTAATTGATCAATATCAGAGATAGAGCTAACATATTTGGTTGATTGATGTGAGTTTGTGACCCTGGGTTTCACGGTTTAAACCCAGGTCACAAACATCTACAATAAAATATATATATATATAACTAATATATATATATATATATATATATATATATATATATATATATAGACCACTAATATTGTATAAATATTTCCTTTTTTTCACTTTCTCCTGTGCGCCAGGACTTTTACAATTGAACACTTTTATGCATTATTATATTGGGTTACATAAAGATTTTTATTTTGCAGCTATCAACACTGTACATTTTAATCATTACAATATGCACTTAGACCAAAAATATCGATATATGGAGGTCATGAACTTTGTCATAAGATAACCTCTTAACTTCCGTACCAAAAAAGACAACTTCTTTTAGCACAAATATTGAGTCTTTTTCACCGTTCCTTCTCAAGAAATACAACCTCTACAAGTCTTACGGAATACCACTTGAATTTGAAGCAAACAGATCGTATTTTTTAACACGAAACCTATTGATTATAGTTTAAAATAGCAACTTGTTAACTGTTGGAATTCGTTCAGCTCGATCAATTTTTAACATATGTTGAGGCTGGGCAAAAGAGCAATACGTATTGGAGAGTTTGAGCCCTTGATTGTGTCAAAGGGAACATATACAACACTGATCTTAGGAAGAATTACTGGAAAGTGATACTTTAATATTTGGATTAATCTAGTAATATATACACTCCTGATCAAAAATTTAAGACGACTTTAATTTTTTTTTTAAAAAGACTGTTTTTCAATGAAAAATTTTAAACATTTCTTACTTAAGGTTACTAATTTTATAATCTAAAAGGTTATGTAGACAAAAAATTATAGCCCGAACATTTTATAGCGAAATTGACATTTTTATAAAATGAGGCGTTTTACACTTGATCAAAACTATAAGACCAGAGACACGAAATTGTACGAAAAGTGTACGAAAACATTCAACAACCAAATTTAATAATGAGTTCTACCTCCACTGGTTTTGATGACTTCAAAAATTCTTTGGGGCATGCTAGAAATCAGTGTTTCCATTAAGCTGCGAGGAATATTGCTCCAGCTTCTGAATATAGCTTCACGAAGTTCATTTTTTGTTGAATATTGTTTGCCATTTCGATAAACATCTATTGCTATCCATCCCCAAACATTTTCAATTGGGTTCAAGTCCGGTGAGCACGCAGCATGTCTCAAGAGATGGACCCCATTTTCTTGTAGAATGGTCAAGGTCCGGTATGCAGCGTGGATTGCAGCATTATCCTGTTGGAATAACCATCCATTCTCACACAAACGATGGCCCTCCGTCACCAACGATGCTTTTTGTAGCATGCTAACATAACCAGCCGCTGTCTGACGACCCTGCACCCACCTGGAGCGCCATCGTCCCTCTGTAAGAAAAGGTACCCCCATACCATTAGGGACCCTCCACCACTACGACGTGTGGAGAAAATTTCAGGAGGCATGTTTTTGTTATGCCAATATCGTTGGAAGCCATCAGGACCATCTAGATTGAATTTTTTTCTCATCAGAAAACAGGACTTTCTTCCACTTCTCAATGTCCCATGTTTGGTATTCACGACCAAACCATAAACGGTTCACTTTGTGACGTGGAAGCAGCCGTGGAATTTGTTTGCGCTTTTTATTTACCATGCCTTTTTGTCGTAAGTGTCGTCTGATGGTTACTGGATTGCAATCAGCATCTGTGGCTGCCTTAATTTGACGAGAAGAAAGTCCACTGGCTTTCACAACAACCCGTCTTATTGTCCTACTCAATGCCGGAGAAACTCTTTAGGGGCCTACTAGTAGAGTTTGCGTTTCCATAATTCGCACTGTCCTTTAGAAAGTTGCAAATTACAGTTTTACTGCGATTTACCTTCGCTGCGATCGTCCGCTGTGCCAAACCTTGATTATGAAATCTAGAATTCGAGCACGCTCAACTTTCGGTAAGTTTGCTTGCTTTAGGCATGGTGACACATTTACGCAGTGATTGCTAATCTCTAAATGTACTAAAAACATTGGAATTACCCAAGATCTAACAATTTATACCCCCTAGTCTTATAATTTTGATCAAGTGTAAAACGTCTCATTTTATAAATATGTCCATTTCTGAATAAATTGATTGGATTATAACTTTTTGTCTACATAACCTTTTAGATTATAGAATTAGTAACCTTAAGAAAATGTTTATAATGTATCCTCTCAATTGTTGATGTCCCCAGGTCCACCCTGACCCAGGGTGGTAGCACCAGTTAGGGTTCCAGCTATGGGCAAATAGTTAACCCCTAAACGGGAATAAAAACACTATGGAAGTGTAAAAGTAGGTTTTTAATACCAGAAATACTTTGTAAAAAATTATACCAGCAATAACTTTTTGAAAAAAAAAAAAAACTTACCAGGAATATATTTTTGAAAAAATATTACCAGGAATATATTTTTGAAGGAAAAATATTACCAGAAATAGATTTTTGACAAAACAAAAAATTACCAGCAATAAAAATGTTTTTCGGCATTAAATAACCCATTGAGGTTAAACCAAAGAATACATATTCTATTTATACAAAACTAAAAAATTAAATAAATTGAAACCAATCAAAATAAACCAAAAACTAAACCAAAGAATACATATTCTATTTATACAAATCTATCCTAAAAATGTTGTCGGCATTAAATAACCCATTGAGGTTGATATGCCGTAAAACAAAATAAACCAAACCAATCTAAAGCAAAGAATACATATTCTATTCATACGAATCTATCCTAAAATGTTGTCGGCATTAAAAAATGTTGCCGGCAAATTAAACCAAAAATCACCCATTTACGAATCTATCCTAAAAAGGTTGATATGCCGTAAAACAAACCAAACCATTGTGGCTGATATGGCGTTAAAACAAAATA